GGGGGCAAATTGGCAATAACCTGGAGTCTTCCACTAAAGGTTGGATTTCAGTGTAACATGACATTGGTTGTATTTATAACCAGAATACAACCAGTTGAGTGAGTTCTGAGTAGACTTGCTGGGACTGACTGTGTTCACAATCCATTTGCGTTCATAAATTAAATGGTAATTATCCCTAAAACCAACATTAACCACACTATAGATCCCATGTTTTTATAAAATATACCTTTAGTGGAGCTTTAATATTACATATTTTAATGCTTTAATTTTTAAAATATTATTTGGATATTCTAGGAATTTCCAGATAACAGCTATATAAACCAAACCATGTTAAAAGGTCAGAGGATCTTGCAACATTAAGTAAAGTAGCTGCGTATGCATGTTAGTTTTCTTCCCAAACACCCTAGAACATACCCTGAGCATTTAATATACAGATATAGATATATATAAGTGAATAATAAAACTCACACATTGTACATTCAGACTGCAGTCTTCATTATGCAGGTCACAGATTTTAATACATGGAGAAGTGCAGCAGCAAGGTAAAGAGGGTTATGGAGAGGACTAAATCTGAATCACAAAAGGTATGTGGGTCTGAATGACGACTGAACTGAAAGGAAAAATACACTTTACCGAAACAGGTAGTCTCGGTCTCTGTGGCGGCATCCAAAGAACAGCCAGGTCTCTCCAAATATGGCCTCGGGGTTCGTCTGTCTCTCCTCCTCTCTGAAAGTCAAACAACAGATGTTAGTGGTCAATCAATACAAACAGACACAGGCCCGATGGAGGAGAGTCCTTCGTCACAGCAAAAGGCTAAAGAAGAGATGTGACGCTGTTGAGCACTGTCTGTAATGACAGGAGTGGCACGTGCACAGAGACGACCTGTGTGTTTAAGGAAGGACATTATATGCATTATTAAATTCCACCCGAGCACAGGTTCCATCACAATAAGCAGCTGCTGAAAATGAAACTAGGGCTCAGTGTGTGAGTGTGTACAAGTTTTACTCCTACATTTATGTGTGTCTGTTATTCGGTGCAACAACATAAAAAAAAAAAAACCTGCTCCTGAAAAAGTGATTTCTCTTGTGGCTTTGGAGTTTGGCAAATCTCCCAGAGTCCTTTGCAGGCAACAGCAATGCAGAAACACAAAGCGGCTCTGAGGATGCCGTTATCTGTGCCACACACCTGCCGCAAAGGTGACAGCTCTCTCCCAGATAACAGTTGACCTCCAACCTTTCATGATGCCATCAGTCAGTTGACTGTCTAAAGAGACCGGCATTATCTGTTACCCTAGCTGTGGGTGGGTGATTTGGGGAGGGGCTAGCTGAAGTGACCAACCATGACAAGGGGCTGAGAAATACCACAGAGAGACACTGAGACTGGGCTCTTTGTGCTGCACCGCTGCGCTCCGAGGATACGGTGCCTGTTTCCCTAAATCCCATCCTTTGCTGTTCACAGACAGACTGAATCCTGCTGTGTTTTCCAGCTATCACAAAATGAAAATAGCAGCCAGCTCCTGAGACTAATGGAGGGATATTGTGCTTAAAGAGGTGATAATACTTTTAAATCTGTGCTAATAAGTAATCTAATAAGTATTTCAGCACAAAAAATAAATGACTAACCTCAAAATTAAGACAAAATGAACTACATTTATTGAAATATTTTTAAATGATCTGAATGTTTTGCAAATTTTCACCTACTGGACACAGTCTGAGTCATCTCACATCTACGTCTAAAACTGCAAGAGGAGCAGAGACGAAGACTCAGGATGTGGATAAGAAAATCTACGTCTAAAACTGCAAGAGGAGCAGAGACGAAGACTCAGGATGTGGATAAGAAAATCTCCAGGCAAAAGATATTTTTGCCTGGAGTTGGAGGCAGTTTTGTGGGCAAGACCTCCATTGAAGGCACGGGTTAGAACTGGACTGGACTGGATATGTTTCATGAGGGAACAATAAATAATCTAGATTGCTTTTGCACAACAACAGCTAATAAGACTCAGGTAACCAAGACGGTTCAAACAGCATGATTCAAACAGCACGATGCAGATGACATAAACAAGGTGGAAACATCTTTGATTGGAAAGGCGAGATGAAATATTCGATATCCACTGCACAAAAACAAAGCTGTGAGTCAAAGCCAGGAAGAATCTAAATTTAGCAGAAGACTGACTGGATTTTATTGTTACTATGCTATTGGATGACAGGTCGCTGAATTGGTTTAAAAGGGTAGAGGACACTTGTATCTGTTTTTTAAAAGATTTGTACTGTTTTAATATAAATTTGAACTCGGCAACACAAAGAAGTCACTTTGGCCTGTAGACCACAAAGAACTCTTAATTACAGTGTTTCCAAACAACACTATGTAAACTGTACATAAAGGTCAGAATCTATGAGTTGCAGGTCTATTAGCCCTCATATTTAATTACAGATTGCATAAAGACAACATAGTGAACACTGAAACTCTGACGTTTTGTTTTTCCTTTTAGAAAACATGCTCATTTTGAATGTGATGCCAGTAATAAATCTCATTAAAAACTCTATTTAGTTATGTTTACCACATTGCAGAAAAGTAACTAAATTTAACACTCTCCAACTGTTTTTTTACTAAGAAGGCACGCTGCTGAAAAAACATGAAAACCATGGTTCAGCACTTGCTTTGTTAAAATAATTAAAGTATTCCCGAAAAAGTAAAGTGTCTGGATGACAGCATATGCTGCTCCAAAACTTAACTTAGCATTAATGGCGCGCTCACAGATGTGCAAGTTTATAAAGCCATGTGCAATAATGCCCTCCCCCCATACAATCAAAGATGCTCGCATTGAACTGAGTGCCGATAACAAGCCAGATGGTTCGTCTGCTCTTTAGCCTGAAGGACGTGGCGTCCACGATTACCAAAAACAATTTAAGATATTGACTGGCGAGACCACAGGACATTTTTCCACTTCCCCTCAGTCTGTCTTAAATTGACTTGGGTCAATTTCTAAATCTTGTTTATGTATGGATTTCCCTTGGAAGGCACAGATCTAACTTGCAATCCTGGATTCTGTGATAAACTGACACTGAAAAAAGTCTTGTTGGGCCCACGTGGTGATTTTCACAACAGAGACGTGTCTTCAAAGCTGTTCCTGAAGAACAGAAAAATCATGACTGATTGCTCCCTGCATACTGTGATTTTACTGATATGATGTACCACAGATGACGGAGTTCCCAGATTCTACATAATAATACATTTTTTTTTATCCTGAAATTGCTGAATTATTTGCCCACAAAGTCTTCCAAAGAGCAGTCATACCCTCCTTTCCTTTACTTTGGGAAAAGCAAAATCAATAATTAAACATCTCCATAGGAGTTTCTATTCATTGCCACTCATTTAACTAAAGTGTTGCCAGTTTCTCATTGAGGAATGAAATGTTTATGAAGTGTCTATTTAGCATAACACATCTCTGAATTTCATTTCCTCCATCTCATGTTTTGAAGCATGTTGCTGGCATCTGTGCAGTCTCTGCAGTACACTGAACCAAATAAAGGTTTAAATGACTTGCAAATCATTGCTTTCTGTTTTTATTTACATTTAACACAGCATCCCAGGTTATTCTGGAAATGAGGTTGTATTTTCTGACATTTTCTGACTGGATTACCAGATTCATTACATTTTTTTTTTAAAAAATAATGAAGAGATTAATCAATTGTTTTGTTGTAGCGCTACAGTAATTAGCCATAGGCAAAAACAAATCAATGCGCAAGTGTGACTGCGAATACTAAAAACAAAGCTTAGCTCTCATTAATTAAATGTAAAGTTGACCAGTAAGTAAGAAAGATTCAGGGAATACATTTGTTTGAACTTTGCGACTGAGACTGGGTAACAGAGCTGTCTGGCTGACTTCATCTGAACGCTCAGATCCCGTCCATTAGCATCCTGGACGAGATTCTTCTGATCTGCAAACAGCCTCAAGTAAACTCATTTTAGTGGGCTCGTCTCTCCTCTCGCCGCCTGCCCTAAAGGGATCAATACCAATATGAAAAACCTGGATTCCATTCTGAGTAGACCACACCGGCGCCTTTCCCTGAATACAAATCACATCACATCACACCACATACCCACACTATAACAGCCTGCAATAAAATCCCAGGGGAATGCAGCATCTACAGAGCACTCCATTTGGGGTCGAAATCAGAGGCGGTTGCCTTTCAGCGCCATTCAGTTGATCAGCAGGAGGGGAAACTGCAAGGGAAGCTGAGGTTAAGGCCTGGTAAACATCACAATTATCTCATATCTTTCATTTTCATCTTTGCAGCTCAATGCGAGTGGCACCGAGTGCCTTTTTACATTCTAAAAATACAAAAGAGCCAAAAAACAACAACAGCTTGAGACTTAATCACTGACATTGCATTGCAGAATTACAATATACATCCAAAGTGATGAATTCAAAATGTTTTCATAATACGGAAGCAAGATGCTTAAGCTGCCTAATTGTAGTCAGCTTTCTGTTTGAACTGATAAATGGAAGCTAAATATTTGCTCACACAAAAACACAAACTTTAATACAAATTGTTGTATTGAATGTACCAAATATGCCTACTGGTGCACCTAAAACTGAGGAAAAAAGATTCTTTTTTTTCCACTCCAAAAGAAAAACTTGTTATGTTATGGCTTCTAAGAGGATTAAGGCAAACCACTCACTTAAAATACAATATTTGTTTAACTGTCACTGCTCCCAGCTAAACTGAAAGACGCTGAAAATCACATTCTCCATAAAATCCTTCCACGAACACAACAGCAATCAATACCAGACTACTGGAGGCCCTTATTAAAATCTCCTGGTACCACCAAGTGAGCCTCTGACCTTTAGAGACTCTTCTTCTACTTGTTACCAGTGCTACAAACCCGTACAAAGTACTTTTGAAAACAGCCATCGATTAACAGTGGGGGCGAACGAGGGGAGAGGTAGGAAGATCGAAGTGTCCCTGTGTTGTTTTGTTGCTAACAGGGCCCTTCTCGGGCCTCGAGGCAGATACGGCGTCCCGTTGACAAACTGGTGATTGTTATCTCCTATCAGAGTGCAGCGTCAGCCGCCGAGGCTTTGTTTGGAATCTCAAGATAGATTGTGCACAATGCCGCGCACCGCGACAGGTTTTTACAATCCTCGAGCAGAATACGCAGCTGGCAGGGGAGAAGATGAGAGACGCAGACGAGGAGAAGCGACTGTCGAGACAGCTGGGATGAATTGATTCACGTGGGCTTATGCTGGAACAGTCAAGAGCTGCGTGATATAAAAAAAGAAAAGAAAAATAACAAAAAAAAAAACCAAGTCTTTAAACTGAACTTTAAGGACATATTTGATTAGGAGGCTGAGAGTTATGAACACGCAGCCTTGCAAAAATCAATCAAAATCCTCGTCCGCTGCTGTAATAAAACACTCAAATGTGCTTTTTTTAGAGATTTACATTTTGGAGAGCAATATTTGGCCTCTGCTGTAAGGATGAAAGTAAGACTAATATGTTCATATCAGTGCCTTACATCAGAGCACTGTCCCTCTGGCTGAGCCTTTATCATTAAGAAGAAGAGCCTGGCTGTGAGTGCCGCGACCAGGTCAGTCAGAAAATGTGCTATCTTCATCGCTCCATCCCACAGGCACTAGCAAAGCATCACCCCAGATGACCACTCATCTTTCCCCGAATCTTTGCGGCAGACAATCCACCGCTGCCATCACTTCAGCCGGTCACCTCTCAGAGCAATCACGCGCGGACACCACCCGCCACTACAGAGCAGACATCCGGGGGATTTAGAGACAATTGGAGTTGACTGGGGCACAACCTCATTTACACAAAGCCACCCAAGAGTTAGACATGTCAGTCTGACTAAAAAGGCTTACTGCGCTTTCTGACAATTCATGGTGGCTATAAGCCTGGTTCAACACACAGCCATCAGCCCGGATCACATTAAATCCTTCTGACAGGTCATCTTCTCGCAATCTTGATTTAGCCATCAATTCAGACAATTAAACAAGATGTCACGTCTTCCTCTAATTGAGAGCACTCTTCAATCACAGACGTACAACGCAGCGATGGTTTAACTAGCTGGAGAGAACTACTGCCTACTAAGCTAACAGTCAATATCCTCCAATCACCTCTTTGGCAATTACAAGCAATGATTTGCTCCAACATGACCACCACCTACTGGAGAATTTACTTTGAAATCAATATCACTCCATGTGCTGCTTTAACTCTTGGCCCTTTATTACAGAAGTGATAAATTTGTGCATCAGAGAAAGTGTAATTTATTCCTGGAGAGATAAGTAAAGCACCTGACATAATCCCTGACGTGATCGCAGCCCTCGCTGCGAGATTTATTATGGCTTATGTGATGTACATGACGTGGTCTTTTTACCGGCTTTGAGAAGGGTCTCATTTAATTGTCTCTGCAGATTACTAGAAAATATGCACAGATGATGAGCACTTAACATCACTTCAACATTGTGAATATTCATTAAAGGCTGCGTAATTTCAGCTGGAAATGTGTGTGCGACACTTCGCACAAATCAGCACATAACCCGATGCTTGACACGGACATTTCGCTGACCCGCTTCAGCTGCGATTTTTGGCGCCGATTCAAGTGCATTATTACATGCACTTGAATCCTCTTGACGGAAACATTTCCAAAATGGGAGATCTCAAAATATGCAATGAGCCTCTTATTTGGGGAAAAAAGTCACTTGTGTTGCAAGCTGATATTCTATTGTGCGCTTAAAAAAAAACATAAGCGTACCTTTGCTGGAGGAAGCCGATGAATGGAGCGACTCCGGTGCCTGGGCCAACCATGATGAAGGGCACTGATGGATCAGGGGGAAGCCGAAAAGACGCGTTGGGTCTCAAACTCACATGGATCTAGCATCAGAGGATATTAGAGCGCATTTACAATAATTAGAGTAATTACAACAATGCCAAGGAGCCGCTGTGGGCTTGCCAATCGATTCATTGATGTACTTCTTACTCTAAGATATACTAATGAGAAAACTCATGCGCTGCAATTGAAATCCATAGGGTATGTGGTAGGGAAGACTGCTTCCTCTAAGTTAAACTACTTTACTTTAATTAACCACACACAACTGGCTCAAAGCTCACTCTCTTTACATGTCTGAGCTAGTAAAGCCGAGTTTTCAGAGGGACATAAAACACGTAGTGGAAGCTGTCTGAATCCCTAACGCCCAGCACAGCACAATTTCAAGCCGTTTCAACTCTTGCTTCCCACCCCTTCTAGTACCTCTTGAACTGTAATACTAGAAGGAGAATGGGGCAGTCAACCTCTTTTGCTATTTTACTGGAAAAATCGAAACAAAGACAAAGTAAGGCCCAGTAAAGTGTAGCAAGATTTCAACCTAGCCAGAAGGGTACATCTATTTTTTCTCACCCTATGAGCGTTTTCTTGCAACTCCCACAGCGCTTGTACCAGCAAATATGAGCACTTAGAAATTTATCAGCCAAGACCACAAATGTGCACAATCTACTTTCAGCTTTTTTTTACTCCAGTCTACTCATTACCTTTGGCAGCGCTGGGCTGCTGGACGAATCAGCCTTCCCAGGGAAAACCAGGCCAGGATTGATGAGGTCAAATAGCCAGCCAGTACACAAGCCTCGCCTCCCCGCGGGCCGGCCGGAGCATGCTGGGATCTCTACCACGTTGAAGACAAAATGAAGCTTTCCTGGGTGTCTAAGACGAGAGCTACAGAGATGGCACCACAGATGGTTTGAGATGGAAAAAGTCAGAGACAGGGGGGAAACATCAGCATGTGAGAGTGTGTGTGCAAGGCATACATACAGTGACAAGCAGGGAGGAAGTGAAAACAGAGTGAAACACAGAGAGGCACAGGGAGAGCAGAAAATTGGGAAAGATTATTTTAGGCCAATTACTTCAGCATGGCCGTTACTTACAGCTACCTATTTTGAACAATTTCAGCTGTTTAGTGACATCTCAGGCACAACAAGTGGTAAAATGACTCAGTTTGGAGGAAGCCTCACAGAGCTTTCACCCACTGTATCTAGTAGTGTTTTTTTGGATCCTACGCTTGAGATTGACATCATACTGTGTATTAGCCTCCTAATAAACACGTATGTGTACATATTTTCTTAAAATCAAACCAGAATGTGATTTCTGCTTCTCGAAGAATAAAAGCTTCTGTCTTATTTGCCTCGATAAAGATGTCTCTCTATTCACTGTCGGCTAGAGCACTCTCGCACACTCTTATCCTTCGCTCTCCGGTTCCTGTGGGCCACTGGAGACCTCTATTGACCACAGCATCAATAATGCAGGTCTCTAATGTCTCTGCACCATCTGATAAACTACAGCCACTCTCTCCTGTCCGTTTCCCATCTCTCTTCGCGCGTACACACACACACACACACACAAGCAGCTAAGGGAGAGACTAATGAGAGGAGCGGAGACGTTTTGACATTGCGTTAGATGTTGCTGTTCAACATGAGTCTCAAAGCAAACCTAATGGGCACTAGCTTAAAAGGGAGCGCAAATCAATGACTAGCTAAGTGAGGAAAAAAGAAGGAACACTTGGCCTATTTAAACTAAGCACAGCTAGCTAAAGTCTATGCAATATTTAAAGTCCATTCATTTATGCAGTTTCTTCCTATCAATGAAATCTACAAACAGCCATTCAAACTAATGTATATCACATAATGTGCACGTCTGGCAAAAGGAGTCCAAAACAAGCTTCACACAGATACGAAAAACTTACATAAAGTGTGTTACTAAAGTGTCACGCTGCCAATTGCCACCAGAAGAGCTTCGCTGTGCCATGGCACAAATTCTCTGAAACTCTACTGGAGAGATGAAACACACGTCTTCCAAAGATACTCCCACATTTGGTGATGGAGACTACATCTAACACGCTGAACCCAAAATTTTCCAAAAGGTGTATATCTGGCTTGAAATATTGTGGCTACAAAGGCCACACCATATGATTCATATAATTTTCATGCTCTATGTCCCCTTGTGCCCCAAGGAGGAGAGACTGTCATGCTGCAAGAAACAACCCATACCAGGTAAGAAATATTTCTTCACTAGAGGTGGTCACTCATAGCCAACACAATGCCCTACACACAACATAGCACGCCCCTGGACGCCCTTGCTGTAGGTATAAATGTTCAGGTTTTTCCTTTAATTTGTCACCCTACACAATTCAAATGACTATTACTTTTTAAAGTTCTTTCTAAGTACCTCAACAAATCTGATTTTATATTAATGCCAGATTTTATTAAGTTAACAGAGCTTCTCTCTCATGTTATTAACTCCCACTCCCTCTCCTTAACGCTCTTAATGTCCGATAATTTGAAAGCTCAATCCACCCCGTGAAGGGATTGGCAAAATAGCAGATCTCCAGTGGATGCTGTTGCATTTCCCAGCTGCCAACAGAGCAAAATCAATATTTTATCATGCAAACTCAAACTCTCTTGTCCAGCGGTGCCTAATAAACAAACCTGGGCATTCAGTGATATATCATGATGCATGCGTAGGAATAAAACAGCAACAAGACTTTCAAAACAAAGTTAGGCAGCTATGAGACCAAACAACACACACACACAAATGGATTTCTATTATACTTGTGTAACGCAGTATTCATGCACAGCCATGTAAAATGTATATGAAATCAGGATACCATATTTACTTGACGCACCACCACCACACACACACCCCACCCCCCAACGAAACTGTTCAGCATTAATCCAGCCCCAAACCAAACAGGATAGTTCTGTTGTGCAGAAAGAAAACACCAGCTAGCGTTTAAAGATTTAGTCTTCCAAGACCACTGAGAATAAAACAGACATACTTGGGTGATAAAGCACACTTGTGCAGCTCTACAGTACAAAGCGTATTCTTCAGTGTAATTTTCTGTCACCTTACCTGGCTGCTGAATAAGGCCGGGGTTGCAGTTTTGGCAAATGCTCTGAAAGGCAAGCACAAATGTCAATCACCGCGCTGTCTTGCTAAGATTTGGTTACGCAGTCAATCACCACAGAGAGGAGACGAATTATGTGAAAGTCATTTCGGTCCATTGAAACGTCCTACCTACCAATCTATCCTCAGTAACCCCCACCCAGGTTACAGTCTTGTTTCTAGGACACACTTCTATATTTATGAAATTACAAACTCAGGGTTATAGAATCCCAAGTGTCCAGATGTGGCGCCAGTAGGAAACAGATTGCTTATGCAGACCTTATTTCAATGCCAGCCATGAAGGTGCCCTCTTTTGGGTAATATGTCGCACACATTGTATATGCGAGGAGGTGTCAGTTACATCGAGAAAACTTTTTTTAAGAGTTTGAGATAACTTTTTTACCTGACAGCAACAAGATATGCCATTCTCTATCCAGTGCCCAGCACCACTGATTAGACGCTGGCAAAGAGAGAGATTGAGAGTTGTGCGACGTGCTTGCTGTGCACTCGCTACATTTTATTTGTATCTCGGTGATAGATGAAGCCGGACAAGTAAAGCACCACCATATGTACCAGCTGAGGCTGTACAATAACACATTTTTCTGCTAAATTGCCAGAGAAACAAACAGCTGGTCTAAATCTGCTCTCTCCTCTCTTTCTGGATTTCTCTGACATCTAAACAGCTCAGAGGTTTCAGAGAGACAGCTCCGCACTTTGACGTCCATTTCATCTCTTTGCGCTGAGATATTTTAAACAAACGCAAAGGCTTTGCTGAAACAGCAGTTAGCTACTAATAATTTATCCACATACCCTCAGACACTGAAAAGACCAACAAAACTGAAAAATAAAAACAGGGCCAGGGGCTAACATCAGTTTTAGACAGTAAAGAACAGTCGGCTAATAAAATAAACGAAATAAAAGCAATGCACATGTTTTTTAATACATTTCCTAAGAAAATAAAGATATTTAATACTTGGTTGCGATTGGGTTTTTAACCACTTTAAGTACAGTGAGTACAGTGAAGTCGTTGTCATGTTTGGGAGCCCAGTTTGGGATGATTTGAGTTTGTAACATTGTGTTATCCTGCTGGAGCAACAATAAGAAGATGGGTACACTGTGTTCATAAAGGGACAGACATGTTCAGCAACAATACTCAGGTAGGCTGTGCTGTTCAAACAATGCTCATTTGGTGCTTAGGGGTCCAAAGTGTGCCAAGAAAATATCTCCCACACCACTACAACACCTCCAGTAGGGTAACCAGCACCCCAAAGGCAAGATGGATCTATACTTTCATGTCGTTTACACTAAATTAAATCCGAATGCTGCAGCAGAAATTAAGATTCATCAAACCAGGCAATGTTTTTTCAATTTTCATTGCCCAATTTTGGGGAGCCTGAAAACCGCACCCTCAGTTTCTTGTTCTTAGCTCCCAGAAGTGGCAGCCAGCGTGGTCTTCTGCCGCTATAGCCCATCTGCGTCAAGGTTCAACATGTTGTCGATCCAGAGTTGCTCCTCTGCATACTTTGGTTGTTCTTATTGGTCTTTTGAGTTACTGTTGCCGTCCTATCAGCTCGAAGCAGTCTGGCTATTCTCCTCTCACTTCTGTCATCAACAAAGCCTTTTCACCCAGAGAACGGACGCTCACTGGATAATTTCTCATATTTGGACCATACTCTGTAAACTCTAGAGACGGCTGTGTGGGAAAATTCCAGTAGATCAGCAGTTTCTAAAATACTCGGAGCAGCCAGTGTGGCACCAAAAACCGTGTCACGTTCAAAGTCACTTAAATCACTTTTCTTCCCCATTGTGGTGATCGTGTTAGCAGGTTGTCTTGATGATGTCTAAATGTCTGAAGGCAGTGAGCTGCCGCCACGTGATTGGTTTATTACATATATCCATGAGCAAGCAGTTTGAAAGATGTACCAATGAATGTGTAAGTATGTCTGTGGCTGAAGAAATGTAATTGTTTCATGACCTGCCATCTTAGTGAAGCATTAAATTATTTCCACTATCACAGAAAATCAGATGTGTAAAGAAAACCTGGAAGATTAGGTTAAAAAGAGTATTTTATGGGGAAAACATATTCTTTTCTTTGATGTAAATTTAACTGAAAGGGCAGTTTTGCATGTCAGTATTTGAAAACCTGCATAAATATACTCAATAAAGAGATTCCTTGTTATATATTTGAAGTCGGAGAAATAGCAGTGTCTTGTATTTCTCTTTGAGATGCCTCCAATATCCAGCACGACTCATAATATTAAAACTAGCCGGAGCAAAGAGGACTTATATTCTGAAAGAAGTCCAAATGTTTCAGACTTAGAGGCTTAAAATGTATTAACGTATCACAAGGTGAGCCAAGATTACAGGACGGCCTTGTTTAGTTGTAATCAATGTGCATGTACTGGAGATACAACCCACAGTGAATCATCTGTAAATAAATCTTTAGAGATAATTAGAGCTACGCTGCACCAGAATGGATAAATAAATCGTTCCTGTTTTTAAAGTTTCTCAAAAACCAACAGTGAGTTGCTGCTTAATGGGACAAATCCTCACATACAAAATATCTGAGGATCCTTTCAGTCGGTGCAAGTGTACACCTCTCCATCAGAGGGTGTATCGTGTATGTTAGCGCTATCCTCCACAGCTGTGCAGAGCTTGAGTTGCTGCCTTTCTATCACAGAGTGACAGCACATGTCTGAATCAGAGGACAATCAATCCATCATCTCGCATCACTGCGCTGCAATGATACTGGTGGTAGATACAGAGGATGGATCACTTTTAAAACCCTCTGAATGCAAAGCTTTTTTGTCGCAGTCAGTGGCTCGAAGATACATTTTTAAATATGTAATCCAAAAAAGGCTTAAGAAAAGAAAAAAAAAAGAAAGCACAGTCCCAAGATCCCCACTATGTTTTCAGCGGTATCATCGATCATAGTGCACAACAATATAATCTATTTCATCTCAAAAGTCTCTGTGCTGCAATTTATATGCAGAGGTACCATTTTAGTAGAATAAATGAGATAGAAATGTGGTTGCACATAAAAGTATATACTTCTCGAGATTTATGGAGAGTTTCTTTGGCTGTGCATGGAATTAGAGAAGTTGTTAGCATTAAGGCGTTAAGTGAAATTCTCCTCAGGAAGGTTTTTGCAGTTTTTAATAGCCTGCAAATGCTAATTTCAAGTTATTTCTGAACGAAGGACCTGCTAGCTCATGGTTTTCCGAAACCATTTAAACATTTTCTGTGGCGTTTTTATTGCGACTTAAGTGAATAAAGTGGGAATAGAAGTGATAAGCAATCAGTTCTCTGTGGCCAAGAAATTTCATTTTAAATTTAATGCTTTTCCTCAAAACAGAAGGGCCAATAACCTCTTGGGATACAGACATATTCCCTTTACTTTACTTTAGTGAGGATTATTTTGTTCTGCAAGTTTAAGTCCAGCAAAAAAGTAAAAGAATAGAAAAGAAAACTGCACCTTGGTACGATTTCATTTGAGGTCTGCTGTAAAGTAATTGAAAAAGATGCTCATGGACAGCATTTAGTTCCCAGGGGCTTTGACCCCAAAGTTTTTATCTAACACTCTGTACGAATCAATGAACTATCAACACGACATCTGGCTCTGAAAAGTGGGCATCTTTCTCAATTTAGACCCAGCATCTACTTTTGTAACCAGCCTGCACTTGGCCAAAGACATGTGGGTCCAGAGACATCTCTCCTCATTATTTACACTTAGTGTAAATCAGCCTAAACCCTAATCAGCAAATGCCTCCCCTTCAGTTGAGGTAATGAACCAAGAACACTGCAAAAATACAGCAGTGTACTTTAACAGCGACACCCTGAGTCAGAGTTTACCATTAACCTATGATCCAAACTGACCCTGTGCATTCGTGTCCTTGCAAAGCTCAGTGGTTTACCAGTATACCAAATAACAGCTGCTGCCCTGAGGGGTCTGCAACGCCGCATTCTTCACGAGGGCACGGTTGTCCCCGTTGCCAATTTCTGCATCAGTTCACCAGAGTAAAAGGTGCTGTGGTTGGCAAGTAGGCCTAAAATAGCTGACATTGGGGTAGGCCAGGAGCTGTGACACAGCTGTTTTAGAGGACAGCTCAACTTGTATATGAAGCTGTAGCCAACTAATTTCACTGTCTGCTAAGTTTCAGTCAAAGCTTATTAGATCTATACTGAATGAATGACCAGCCAACTATCTTAATGAGCTGAAAGGAAAATGTTAGTTTCTTACCAACAGTTCACACCAAGGGTCAAAAAAAAGGAGACGATAGGTGGCAGACAGCAGGGGAAAAAAATCATCAATATTATTAGCACAAGGCGAGATCATGGATAAACTTCAAAATATATATCTTGACTTGATATATATCGTTATATTTACAAAAAACTGGAAACAAAACAATATTGGAGCTGCAGATTTTAAAATGAGACGAGGAAGTGAGCGTTGACCCTTTGGGGAGCCTCTTGATGCCCTCTGTCTGACTGTTAGGTATAATTAAATGCTCTGACCAAATCAACCATGAGCCTGTGCTCACAGAACAGGGCTTTACTAAGGCTACAGTGACCCCTACTGGATGAAAATGATCCAGTCAGACAAACTGAATCACAAAACACAGAAGGCAGGCGCGACAATAACACGAGGTGTTATTAAAAGTGAAATAAATAGTTCTCAAACAAATAATTCCACTGACACTTAGTGCGGGTGCAGTCAAAATCCCACTCTCACGTCAATCACTGTAATTCTCCTTTTCTTTAAAGCAAATTGAAAACTTGTTTTAATTAAACATGCAAGTTTGAAAAAAAATGCAATGATTTTTTTGAAGACACTGGAAAAATCCAAAACATAAAATACACTTATCTATGATAATAGGTCAAAATTATGACTAAAACTGTGATTTTTATCACACTGTGTATTTTAGAGAGACTTTCAGATTCCCCATTAAAACCTGGAAAAGATCACTTTATCAATGATGATTATACGCTCTGTTAGTCGGTGGAAAAAAACAGAAATTTTCTGTCTGAGTGAGCTAACAGCAGGGAGTCTGACCTATAAGGAGGCTGAGAGGAGGTGAGCAGGATGGGAAGGCTGTAAGAAGCTCCAAAACGCTGAGGCTCGGGTCTCTCACATACAGGTTGTAGTCTGCAGCACCTTGTTTACTGCAGAGCTCCTGCAGTCTCCTCCTCTGCACGCTGTCCCCTGTATGCTCCACCAGAGCTCGCAGAAACGCCTGACAGAGACACAGAAATCAGATGCGCTGTCACCCGAAGCTGTTCTGCACCTCCGTCAGCCACAATTGTCGTGACTTTTACAAAAAGGAGAGCCAGCCACACTGTACACAAAGTCTGAAATCTAAACAGGTAGACCCTGACTCCAACCCCATTATGTAGTACAGCTATTTTAATATGCACAAAGCCATTTCTTCCACTACAAAATTATAATTTTCTTTTTTATTTAAAAAAGAGAAAAAAAGGCCTTTAAGACGACTGAGAAACTAGCAGAGGCGAAGAAGCAATCTTTTAATTCTCAAACAAAGTCCTAAAAATCGATTAATGCAATCAATTACCCAGTTACATTTGCAGAGGACATGCTGCGGTTTAATCGGCATTTCATTCGTTTCATTAGCAACTGCTTGTTATTTTTATTGTAGGCAGCAATTAAAATAAAAAGATTAAAGGGATCACAAAGAAACATTAAAACGCTTCTGCTTAAAATTTAGTCTGCAACCATGAATCAATCAGATGCTGTAATCTGAACTTTAAGTATTTGTCAAGAAGTGCTCTGTATAATCTCAGTGATTCATTACAGTTTTGACTGCATGTATGCAAAGATTTGTGGCATGTTCTTCACTGCACTGGATCGAGTGTAACATTTTTCTCAGCAGAATTGGAGAATCGGGATGTACAGCTATATCTCCCTGTGTTTGATGCTGCTACACATAAGACTGGGAAGTCTCATTGCCAAAGAACCAGAGGTTATTATCTTTCTCGATCCTAAAAAAAAAATAAAAAAATGTGAAGCTTAAAAATTGCTGGCTTTAGTGAAACAGCTGAAGTGCATTACACAGGCAGGTGTTGTAAAATAAAACATTTACTGTCTTGTAAGTCTTTAAACAACACAGTGGCAGGAAAAAAAAAATCTATTTCTGTGCAGGAATTTAATAGAGGAAGCTGCAAACAAAACGTCTATAAAGACTTCTGAGGGAACTGAACTGAGTGAAGCCGTTAACGTTTAGATGTTCTACATCTTTCTGACACTTTATCAATTTTTTGGGTGCAGTTCAAAAAGAGTCTTTACATAAAATCCAAGCAGAATTCAATATATAATGGCTCGCTAACTTAATTCATGATTATGACAAAGCAACTTTTTATTGCACAGGGTTTTATAAGCGTGTCAGATATTTTGAAATGCTTAACGAGAAAAAGGAACCCATCCGTCTTTTTTCTTCCACTTATCCTATTCTGGGTTGCAAGATGGAGCAGTGGAGCCTATGCCAGATATCAAAAGGAAGAGGCGGGGCTGCTAGTTGCCAGTCTGTTGCAGGGCTAACACATAACACCTACAGTCAGTTTAGAATCATCAGATAACCTAAAATCTCTTTAGATGCCTTTAGACTGTGGGAGGAAGCTGGAGTACCTGGAGAGCGAGCATGCAAACTCAGACCCAAGACCTTCTTGCTGTGAGGTGACAATACCAACCACCGCTACTCCCAGAAAATGTAACCTTTTTAAATAAATGCAAACCTGTAGTGTGCGTGTATCATTAAATATAAATTGTGTTTTAAATGTTGTGCGATTTAAGGGTTTCAAAGGGAATCGAGCACTGGATTCAGACCAGTATTTACAATGACGTGCTTATCAGAGCTTTAGGGTTATTACCATATACTGTCATGTTTTCTGCAAGTGTGTAGTGAAGAGTAAATAACTGATACAGCTCATGCCAGATGGAATTTTCTTTTCACTTTTTCTCTTTGTTTTTCATTAAATAATCACTTAAGCTCTCTAATTAAAACAAAAAAAAAAACAATCAAAATAACAAGATGATGTGAAAATAATAACTTCACCATTAACAGTTTCTAATGAATCACATCTAAGGAATCAGAGGAAACTACCGCAGGCCACATCGCCAGCCAAAGCTCACAAACTGACGAAAGCTCAACACTTGGGCAATTTGACATTTTCACGCACCAAATGTGAACTTAATTTTAACGTTTCAACAGAGGGATCACGGAGGTTAAATGATTATTTCAGCTTTGGACCAGGACTTAGTAAATCCAGCCTTGCCTGAGCGTATTAAACCAAACTATACAAACACCTGCAGATCTTCTGGGTCCAGACCCGCTGCTGACTCACACTACTCGACACATTTTTCTCCCAGCTTTGACACAACAAATAAAAACAACGTGCAGGTAGCGTTGTCAGAAAGACACATTCCCTTTATTATGCTAAGACAGTAAAATAACAAGCAGGTTGTCACATGAAAAAGTGACTTTGTTTATGCAGCAAGTAGCTGCAAAGCAATATAGGGAAAATGGTACCTTCTTAGGAACACTTCTGATCTCCAGACACCATGTGAGCAAAAACAGGAGAGAAACATTCTGTGGGATGTAGGGTGGCACCTGGGCACCTTTAAGAGGGGAAGAAGGAAAATTAAAAGGATGAGCTTAATGGGGTCCATATTGTGTGTTATTTTCAAGAATGTACCAGTTGTAGTATTACCTTTTTTCTTAGTGTCTTTTTGCAGAGAAATATTGACATGGTGGTTCCTTTGGCTGTGAAGGCCCAGCCTGTGGAGCATGTGGTCCATGTCTGCGGCCCTGTTTGGGCAGAACACATCAAAGGAATCCCCTGGTTGATAAGCCAACACTGGGTAAGCCTGAGAATGGAAAAAAAGAAACTTACAACACTGAACTTGCAATCTAAACCTTTACTGGGGGTTAATTAAAGCTTCATTTAAATGAGCATCTTTTCTCATGCTTACAGAGATCTCCAGTTCCAGGAGAAGTGCTGTCTTGACTGCATCTCCACTGGTCAGTTGAACTGCCTTGGATATAGGCACCTGATGAAGAGCCTCTTTGTTTAATGGCCCCACAATCTAAAAAAATATATAAATAAAAAATTAGTGGCCAGTGAAGGAGGAAACATGGGCTAAATCCAAGTTCTAGCAGCAAGAACATCCATCACCTCTTCCATAGTGTCCACCTCCTGAAGAGAAACATCTAGATAGGTAGGAGGCAGAGCAGGAACATTGAGCGAGGACTCAGACAGGGGTGGCACGGAGCATGACAGTGAGTGTGCCAGTGCAACGTGGGGAACTCCAGTTTCCTCTGTGTGTGTTTTTGATGCTGATGTGGAAACACTGGCAGCGTCACCAGACTGGGATGCCAACCCAGGGCTCCCCGCAGGAGAAGCTGGCTTGAGATCAGAAGCGGCAGAAACTGAAGATGAAGCAACAGATGCAAATTTGGAGTCCGCCGGTACAGATGCTCTGACTGACTCGCAGTTCTGCTGGTCAGCGATGCTTAAGAGGTTCAGTTGGACATCTGGAACTGATGAATCTGGAGTTTCTTTGGTTGAATCCTCTGGGCTCTCTTTCAAGTGAGCTGTCCCAACAGAAGCCATTTTTGATAAGGATTCTTTGATGGCTTTCCACAGTCCCCCAAGCCAGGGATCCACAACCAACTCCAGCCTAGAGAGAACAAATTTCACAAAATGACAGCAGCATAAACAAAAGAAAACCAATATGGGTTTAATGTGTCTGCATGTGCTCTGAAAGATGGATGTTTACATTTTCTTTCTCTGCAAAACTTACCCTATACCATCATCTGCATAACCCGTAGCATAGAATTGCTTGGCTCCGAGTTCTTGTAGACGGCGCTCAATGGTCTTGCCACAGTTGCAGAAATTTGCATAATTTGTGTCTCCTAAGGCTGGAGCAGACAGAGGGAAACAGATTGAGACTCTCCAGCAACTGTTCAGAAAGTAAACAGCGCAATGCTCTGCATCGTGATGATATATACAAACATGTTTTTCAAATTAAACTCCCATACGGACAGATGAGCTACAAGGAGCGCTACCACAGACCCTTATAAAAGAATTTACCTAAAAGTGCATAAGAAAGGTGCTTATAGTGGTCAGTGGAGAGGGTCTTCCTCTTGATGCGCTTTACAAATTTTAAGGCATTATCCGGCGGTTCCCCATCTCCAGTAGTAGAAACAACAAAGACCACTGGGGTACTCTCCTTCTCCAAATTGTACTGGAACCAGTTATGTGAATGACGAGAGAAACACAACCATCAGTCAGCATCATATTTATTAAAATGTTGTTGATGTGTTGTTTGGTATCATTTTTCTTTTATTAAACTTTTTTAAACTATCGCTGAACTGAGGGCGACTTGGTAAATATTTTACTTTATACAGATATGTACTTCACCTAAAGTGATTGTATTTGTTTTATTGACATATTTATGCTGTTATTTATTGTTGATATTTATGCTTTTATGGTGTTATGGCCTTCATGTGTTAATCTTTTTCTACCATTCCCAAACTGGTGCCTTTATGGTAAAAATTCCCTTTATACAGATGCTAATAAAGAAAAGAAGAAAGGGTCAATATCTTCATTATTTGGGAAAAGTACATCACAACACACGACTAAGATCGCTACATAAATGAAAACTAGAATGTACCTTCTCGTTCTCATTCAAGCAGCTGAGATCTGCAACCAGCCCGTGCTCCTCCGCCTCCTCGGCTATCCCTTCTGCTATGGACTGGGCTTGGCCCTTCTGAGACCCATACAGGACCACAAACCGAGGCTTCACTTCACAGGGCATGCTAGAAAATCCATACAGAAACGAGGTCATTTGTGCACTGTGTTTATAACTACATGACATTTTATAATTAACAATTTTCACAGTAGACCATGGCTGCTCTGATCGTGTGTCTCAGCAAGGACTTAGTGCACACAACCACGAGGCTAATGCTGATTCATTTTTATGTTTACAAACTTGCTATGTCCACTCAGGTGTGAGGGGTTGTCAGCGCAAGCATGATGCCAAAATTATGTAAAACAAAGATGAAGCAACAGATGCAAATATATCATTACTCATACATAGTACTAAGAAGTCGATTTGCTAGGTTAACAAAAAGACTGCTTACCTATGTTACCACAGCGTACAAAGGAAATCAAAGGAAGTGTTTGTAGACCGGCTCTAACTGCATATCTAGCGTATTAATGTAGTTCTGATCACAAACATTTGTGCTTGTAATCTGTGGTAAACATACAGAGGCGCATACAGTAATTTCAAAGATACATCAACACATAGATGGACTTAGTGGACATGACAGTGACCGTAATATTTTGTTTTTTTTAAAGGAAAGAAAAACAGGTAGTCTTTACAGGTGTTTTGGCTTACCAACATGCGTGAACATTTGACAGGTGACAGACAGACTGCCACAGAACAACCTTCGTAGCTTTCGCAGCCCTGGACACCACCATCAAGTAACCGGACGTTACGTCATTTCTTGACGTTTAGAGAAGTTACCATAATAGTGCACGTGGGTATTAGCGTGCTGTTTCATACGTTTCATGCATTTCCGTGAAAAGCAGCGGATTTACATTGATAGCAAAGTTACAAGTTTCGCTAAAAGTTAGTTAGAGGCGACAGCTAACAACTTAATTCTGACACATCGCATTTAGGTCACGTTGTCAAAGTATAAGTCCCGTCTTTAAAACACGAATCTTTGTGAAATATGCTTATGTGGAATTAAAATCAGATATATGTAGTGTATTCAGTTCTCTGTGGGTGTTTACCTTTACAAAAGTGCGGTGAAAATCATACAGTAATATGTCCTGCCCTTCCCATGGAATTTTATAATATTGTCACTGCAATTCACGCGAGACCAGGTCACAGACTGAGATTGAACGAGATCGGGCGAAACCATATTGTTAAAAGGTGTCTTTTTACTTTAATTCTTACAATATTGTAAGTGCGATGAGGCGATAATTATTTTTTTTAGAATATGTATAAACCTTTTTGCTAATTTCGTAATGCTATTTTATAAAGAAAGAGATTACAACTATGTTATAGGATACACTGAGCAGTACTTGGTTCCGCCCTCTCCGCCCGCGGAGCCTTCCAGAAGTCGCCGGCGGACCCGTGCGGCTCACAGCTTAGTCACACTCCAGATTTCTATTATTAAAACTCATTATTTCATTCTTTATATACTTAATACGTGACCCAATCCCTCCGTCAACATGTCCACTTTGGGGACACTGGCTTTCGATGAGTATGGAAGGCCTTTTATCATCATTAAAGACCAGGATAAGAAGACACGGTTAACGGGCATTGACGCATTGAAGGTACAATGGGCTAGCAAGCGCTACACAGCTTTTCGTTAGAAAGCTGCTATTTTATAGTTAATTTAATGAGTTGGGTATACAGATCTCGTATGACAGGTGGATTGCGATTACTAAGAACAGGTTCATCATGTAATCCTAAATTGTTTGTGCAAGAGCATCTCCATAGCATTAGCCAAATAACTAGCCAGTCATGCTAATGGTGGGGCCCATGTGCTTTCTGTAATGCGTTTAGCCGGTAGGAGCTGCTGACAGGGCTGTGCCCACTTCTCTCATCGGTGATGCACAGAATTTTAGGTTTTGGGTTTTTCAGGCACAGGGAAGTTATACCTATCTTTGGAATAAAATAAAAACGTGTGCATGACTCGGAAATGTTTCTATTTTGCAGTCTCATATTATGGCAGCCAAGGCAGTCGCGTCAACGCTTAAAACGTCTTTGGGACCAAATGGTAAGTCTGAACCAGTGTAGTGTTGTCATACCAAACTGTCCAAACGGTTTGTCATTTTGAAAGTGAAGCCTTTGTGTTTGAAACTATATGTCATTATTGCTTTTAGTGAATTAGAGTTGGCCGTTAGAATACCGATTTTTAACACTTATTTCTCCTGTGCCTTTTTTTTCCTTTTTCCTTTTTCCATGCAGGTCTTGATAAAATGATGGTTGACAGAGATGGAGAGGTAACTGTCACCAACGATGGCGCCACCATTCTCAGCATGATGGATGTGGACCACCAGATTGCCAAGCTTATGGTGGAGCTGTCAAAGTCCCAAGATGATGAGATTGGTGATGGAACCACTGGAGTTGTAGGTATGGAAAAGGAAGATGAGGATGTTTTTTAAATAAAAAAAGAAATATAGACTTGGGACTACTTGGGAGAAGTTCTGATGCTCTCAATGTAGACTCTTCCATCGTATGAGGGAACTTTTATCTAAACTATGGTTGTAGATTGATTAGATTTTGCATTTGCATCTTCTCTGTTGCCCTCAGTTCTGGCCGGAGCTCTGCTGGAACAGGCTGAGCAGCTGCTGGACCGTGGAATCCATCCCATCAGGATCTCTGACGGTTACGACCAGGCCGCACGTATCGCCACCGAGCAGTTGGACAAAATTGCTGAAACCTTCCCCTACGATCCCAACAATACAGAACCTCTCGTTCAAACAGCCATGACAACACTGGGATCCAAAGTGTAAGTCCCCCATACAAAATATTGTTGGGTTATTTCTTTTTGTTTATTAGTGTTATTTTTACTATTATGTTATAAGTAATACAATTAACAGTAATTATTTTGGACTAGTTTCCTCTGCTTGTCTACATTTCCAAATGCTCTTTTGACCTAGCTGGCACATCTTTTTCTACATTGTCATAGAGCAGATAATAACAACTGTCAGTAGAGAAATTTCCTGATTATTATTCTGTTTTTGAGTTAAGGAAGGGAAAAGATGTTTCAATACATTTTGTTTAACAAAATCTCTAAAGTTCTTCCAGCATGGATGCAGAAATATTTTTGTTCATTTTAAATGAACCTGCACTTGTGTTTCTGTCAGAACTGACACAGACTTGTCATCATGCAACAAATGCAAAACCTTTTTTCAGTGATTTTGCAATAGCATTGTTACCACGCTTTATCTAAAGTTCTGTTTGTCTTTCAGCATCAACCGGTGCCACAGACAGATGGCAGAGATTGCAGTGAATGCCATCCTCACTGTGGCCGATATGGAGAGGAAGGATGTCGACTTCGAGCTCATCAAGATGGAAGGCAAGGTCGGAGGAAAGCTGGAGGACACACAGCTCATCAAGGGAGTCATAGTCGACAAAGAGTTCAGCCACCCCCAGATGCCCAAGGTATGATCGATGGGAATTTGTAACACGATGTCATTGGCTGTCTGGTGTTTGATCAAAAAGAATCAAATCAGTTGAAAGTTTCTGGGGCAAAATAAACGTTTCTGTTCTGAACTCCATCTGTAAAATTTGATTAACAGCTTGTCCTTTGTTATTTCACAGGTTCTGAAAGATGTTAAAATTGCCATTCTTACCTGCCCGTTTGAGCCTCCTAAGCCCAAGACCAAGCATAAGCTGGATGTGACTTCTGTGGAAGACTACAAAGCTCTCCAGAAATATGAAAAAGAGAAATTTGAGGAGATGATCCAACAGGTTGGTACCCTCAGAGTCTGTTAACAACTGATGTTTAACCATTTCATTTATTGACTGATTAACATAGAAATCGCAGCCGCAAATAAGTATACACATATCGGCACACATGCTTATGGACACGTTTATTTTAGGTCAAAAGTAATGGGGCTAACTTGGCCATCTGCCAGTGGGGCTTTGATGATGAAGCCAACCATCTTCTGCTGCAAAATGACCTGCCTGCTGTGCGTTGGGTTGGAGGGCCTGAGATTGAGGTAAGACGAGATGCAAAATTACTCTTTAATCAAACACTTTTTTTGTCCTTTGTCACTTTGATCAGTCAGGTATTTGCAACTTTTTGCCATATGTTACATCAAGTACAAAATATAAAGTGGAGTTTATGTTGAAGTGTCGATATCAATTGTTTGTCTGCAGTTGATAGCAATAGCTACAGGAGGCCGCATTGTCCCGAGGTTCTGTGAGCTGACACCGGAGAAGCTCGGCACAGCTGGTTTGGTGAAGGAGATCTCCTTCGGCACTACCAAGGATCACATGTTGGTTATCATGGAGTGCAAAAACACCAGAGCTGTGACCATTTTCATCCGTGGAGGCAACAAGATGGTGAGCCCAAAAGCAAATTCATAATTACATGTTTTGTTTGTTTTTTTCAATTATTATTCCAGTTTGATTAAGTGTCATCTTTCTTGATAGATCATCGAGGAGGCTAAGCGTGCTCTCCATGATGCTCTGTGCGTAATCCGCAATTTGGTCAAGGACAACAGAGTCGTGTACGGAGGTGGTGCTTCAGAGATCGCATGTGCCCTGGCTGTCAACCAGGCTGCAGACAAAGTAAGAGAAATTGCATCAGAGACTTTCTGACCTTAGCATTTACGATAAACATGATTGTGTTCCTGCTCGACTCTCATTGACATCTGTCAATTTCCTTTTCAGTGCCCGTCATTGGAACAGTATGCCATGAGGGCTTTTGCTGATGCTTTAGAGGTAATCCCAATGGCACTGGCTGAGAACAGCGGGCTGAACCCCATCCAGACCATGACAGAGGTCAGAGCCAAACAAGTCAGAGAGAACAACCCATTCCTGGGCATTGACTGTTTACACAAAAACACCAATGGTAAGCAACCACCTGCTCTGCACATAATACACTGCAGTAGATACTGAACTAAACATGGCTTCAGTCTGGATTACCACCTTTGGAGATGACATCACTGCACTTCAATGTTGAAGCACAATGATTTATTGAATTCTTTTTTTTTTTTCTTTCCCCCTGTAGACATGAAGCAACAGCATGTGATCGAGACCCTGATTGGCAAGAAGCAGCAGATCCTGCTCGCTACTCAGGTAGTCAAGATGATCCTGAAGATAGACGACATCCGAAGCCCCGGGGAGACCGAGGACTGAAGCCCTCCTGAACACGAGAAAGGCTCGGGCGCCCTCTTGAACAAATGCCGTTCTAGAGGTTTTCAGCACTTCCCCGAGCATCGTGTCCAAGCTGCACCACGAATCGCTATTTATAGTTGGATACAACATGTTCAAGCTGTTGTAGTACCAGAGTCACCATTAAAATGTTGGTCTGTTGAAATTTCCACACTTTTGCTTTCAAGTACTTTATTTTATTTATTTATTTTTTAATTCAAGAAGATATAATTATGTAATGAATCCATGCACTCTTGAAATAGTTCATATTTATTGTTTATGATCTGAGATTAACAAAACAGTATACATATAGTTTTGATATAAATTCTTATTTCACTAACAATAATATCATAATTTCCTAAACCCTTAAGATAACATGGAAGCTTTTTTCTGCTATGGCTTGGGTGGGGCTTTTTGCCTATATAAGTCAAAATTTTGCTTCAATATATCAAAATTTTTAGTTAATACCTTTGAAGTTCTTTATTGTCAATATGGAGTTATTAAGTTTCAAACCAAATTTGCAGTCAGATATACAATAACCTGAAATTTTGATTTACGGATGGCAAAAAACAGTTGCTGATACAAGCTTCCATAAGACACAGGCATCAATATTCAGACAAAACCAACAAAAAGACTCATTATGAGCACCTCTTACAGATCGTCTTATAATGTTCTGATTAATTATTGTGGATATGATTATATAAAGCAGAGTTTTAAGGTGTTTCCTGGCATTCCCATTTACATGTACGTGTTGAGCCAGTTGAGCAGGTCTTTTCTGGCCTCCTGGATGTAGGGTTTGTCAGCGGGGTTGATGTCCTCTCGCTTGCGGTGGACAAATCCGTGAGTCTGACCAGGAAA